AAATAGGTATGAAAAACCTGCAGTTTAGTATGGCTAAACTAGAGTGTGTTACTGCAGAGAAGTTTAATATTAAATTGAAAAAGTAAATAAGAAAAACTGAATGGGTTTAGTATTCAGTTAAATAATGCTGATACGACTGTATTGCACTTAGCTCAAAAAAAAACCAAAAAAAACCAAAAAAACCCCCACCTCTGTAGTATATCTACAGTTCCTTTGAAATATTGCATCACCTGCAATAGAGTGCTGGATCCTGCCTAAGCTTTGATTTGTTGAAGTTTCAGTTAAACAATGAACTAGGGATGAAAAAATAACTTGACTGACAATAAGCTATCACTGCGTATCAGTGTTTTCCTCTGTCTGGCCTGTCCTGTATGTTCATAGGACCTTTCCCAAAGAACTCTCATGTGCTCAGTGTACCCTGCGGAATTTTGAGCATCTCCTAAACACACAAGTACTAGAGGTTTTTTCTAAGATAAAATAACCTATGTAATTCTGCTTTTACTGTGATAATTTGATATTATACCTATTCTGACTAGTTTATTTCCTTTAGATTTAGCCAACCTAATGAGATACTGCCAGTTGTTTAATGAAGTTAAATTTTTCATTTGTTTTAATTAGTTAATTCAGCAATCAGCATAGCCTTGGTATAGTAAACTGTTCATAGGATAGTAAATAGGATCAGATCATGCAAATGCCTACCTCTGAGCTCTGGCAACAATTTTAAAATTGCATTACTGTATTTTGCCTTCCTAGAATTCTTTCCCCAGGTTTTAGTGTTTGATTTCCTTTTGAATACTTTACAAAATCAAAATGTAGTTGTACTACATTCTTTTAAAATCAATAATATTTGGGTAAACATGAGTGGGATGATAATGTGCCGACTTTCAAGTGAGGAATTCTTAGTTGTTTCATATACTCAATGTGTTATGTAGATAGTTTTTTGAGAAACAATATTATTAAACATTCTCCAAAAGAGGGAATAATAGTGCAGAAGAAGTTAAAGAAGAGCTGTCAGGTGTTTTTTTTCCTATTTTGATCTGGGGAGCGCAGTATAGTTTTGACTTGCAAGTTATTTGAACTGCTAAGTTATTTGAACTGCTGGCTACTAGTGTTTAGCCAGTGCTGAATGTGTTGCATCCTATTACTGATAATTAAAGTGAGGTCTATTACTGCTTGCCAATTATGAAAATACAAAATCTGACATTTGCAGGAATAGCTATTAAGTTTACCAACTTCAGACAAAGGCTTGTTTTATTACTGTCCCTCTCCTGCTCAACGGAGAGACAAGGTCCAGTATGGGGTTCCTGGTCTCATTTTCTACTGACTATAGAAAAAGAAAAAGGGTGGCTGGATTCCCGGTTACAAGTGTAACCTTTGTGAATTATCTTCTTCGTGTTGGAAGAGGTCTTAATTGTGGAGACGAAAATGACCTAACAACTTACAGTCAACTACTTTAATCTTTAATATATGTTGAGTGCATATATACAAATACAAATGTGGAAGATTGCTCATTTTAGCCTCCTTTGTTGGGAAGCATCATTGAGGTGACTCCTTGTGTTTGGTGGTGTTGCTCTCAAATTTGTTGCCTTAGTGCTTTTAGCCTGGATGTGAGCCTTTTTGCTTTCATAGTTTTCAGAAACAGTGTGCTTATTTCAACAGTGTAGTGAAGGTGGCTGCATGTAGATTGGATTTACATAGATGCACATGGGGGGGGGAGTTTGTTCCCACTGATAGCTATTAATGAATGGTCTATAACCAGACTGGGGCTGTATTTTTACAGGAAAAATATGATTTGAAGGTTCTTCATCCAAATCTATATTTTTCCCAGTTTGTACTCTGTGATATGTATGTTTTAATTGGTAAAGTATAGTTTCTTGTTTTAAAAAGTGGTATTTTCTTTTTCTAAAGGACTTATATCAAGTAGCTGAACTCTGAACTTGTTTTGTTTCTATTCACCTTAATATGCTGGGCTGGAAACTGGCTGTTCAAGAGCTGGTTCGGGAATAGATTTCATGCATCTGTCTCAAGGGCAGCAGCTTATACATCAGATGGAGGGGTAGATAATAGAGCAGGTATGACCTGATAGGTTTCGGTATCCAATTTTAATGTGCTGCTGGTCAGAGTCCCAGCTGACAGAGATGGAGTGGTGCCAAAACCAAAATGTTACAACTGGTTTCATGTCTCTCCTCAGGTAGAAGACTGTATTTATTCAAAGTAATTGTCCCGTGAATACTACACTCACACTTAGCTGCTTTCACCCAATGGCTTCTTATACTCTTGCAAAGCCTCAGGTATTTTTCTTAAACGTGCATTTCCTGGTGGTGGCTGAATGCAGTCATTGCTCTGTCTTTCAAGAGGATTTTTTTAGCTGGTGAGGCTCCCCTATTGTAATTTATTAATAAAGCATGAAATAGGCTTAAGAATATGTAAGAATGCAAAGGCCCGTGTCAGTGAGCAAAGCAGAAGCTTTCAGATGCTAATTGGAGAGGTCGGAATCTCACTTTTGGTGGAAATTTTGACAGTAATTTCAGGGTCTGTTTCTTGTGCGACATGGTTACTCTGGAGCCCTGACCATGCTACTCGGGATGTAAAAGAGAGCCTTGCTTTTAGTGGTTGTGTGACATATCAGTTAAGTACTAATTTGAACTAGCATTTTAGAAACAAATGATAGGCTTGTGAAGAAACGAAGGCCTTGTTATATCCAGAAATAAACTTAGCTGTTTAGCAACTATGCCCACAATGAAGTTGTACTCAGAGGTCAAATCTGGCTAAAAATAAATAAATAAATAAATAAAAATCTGTAAAACTGTGGCATATACTAGATCTGATTTACAGAATCCTAAAGTAAAGAAAAAATGACCAACAGCCAATTGTGAGTGAATACAGATGTTTTACAGGATTTATTGTGTAATGCTGGCAACACATGATGAAGATGATGATGTTTTGTAGAGTTCATGGGATGTGAAAGAAGGCTTGAAGTAAATAGAAATGAATGTGACGCTTGAGTTTTTAGAACATAAACTTTCTATGAGTAGTTAAAAGAAGTTAATATGCTCTGTTCATGGGGGGGAAAGTAAACCACAAGTTTTCCTGTATAAAATATAAAATTTTAAATAGCATGAATTGTGTGAGTAGAATATACTAGAAACATTTGTTAAAATCTTCATGATCTCCTTACCTCCTGAACTGCATTTGGGGAGGGGAAGGGGGGAATCTGATTAATTGAGTAAATTTAAACACAAACTCAGACATCAAGACTAAATTAAGGACTCTATAGCTATTTTTTTCAAAGTCTCTTCAGAACGCTACTTCGTTTAAAAAATATTTGACTTTACATTCTGAGTCTTTGCTTTAGAATTAATTTTTATCTTGTTTCACATTAAAGTTAACAGCAAATTGTCTTATTCCTTGACAAATAAGATGCTAAGACCAGCAGCATTCACAAAGCGGTCACAGCAAGCCTTTTCCTTCTCTTCAAACCTTTCTAAAGTCCTTGGAAGCAGCAAAAAGCAGGTCATGTACAGCATGTCCTGACAGATCCTCTGTGGGACAAGAGTGTCCTTTTCTGCTCGGGGTTGTACAATTTTCTGGTGGGCCGATGACTCTCCTTGCCGCTGCTTATAGCAAAAGTGCCTGCAGCAGTCCCTGGTTGTGAGAAATTTTGGACCTCCCTTTTCCTTCAGATGTGGGAAAAGAAAAATGCGGGACGTGTTTCCTAGCTTGCAGGCTCTTGGAGTAAATTGTCAGTGTTTTCTTTGCTGCTTGGCAGGCTCATTTCATTCATATTGAGTGAGGCAAGTTACACCTTGGTGAGATGAGATACTTTTTACAAACTTTGGAATCACTAAACCGTGTCAATTTAGTATGGGAACGAGTTTTGGAGGGGAGTAAGAAACAGCCAGAAGTGAGCCTTTCAAGCTGTGTGGACTCCTTATTCTTATTAGGTTAAGGCCTATACAGTAGGGTTTTTTTTTTGGTTGTTTTTTTGTTTGTTTGTTTGTTTTGTTGTTGTTGTTTTAGGGTTTTTTTGTTTTTTTTTTTGTTTTTTTTTTTTAAAGACGACAACTAATTCAGCATATTTAAAATGGCACTGTTAGCTGTTCCGAGTGTGCCAGTCCTGGCAACTTTCCTGGTTAGTTCAATGAGCATTGCATGCAATCAAATAGTCCTTTCAATTGGGAGCTTATTTAGCTGCATAACTTGAGAAGCCAAAGGTTTGAATGTCTTGGCCTTTGCATCTGTTTCACTTGTACATCACAGATTCCTCTCAAATAATTTTCACATCATATTTTTACAGAAAGTAAGGTCGATGTTTCTTAAGAGGCAGAGTTGTAATATTTCAGTATGAGAGGTCACTCTCTCAAAGGCTTATAGTATGATAAATCAATTGTGGCCGAATATATTCGAGGGTTATTTAAAGGCCGTATGCCCAGTCATGCGAAAAGAGTAAGCACGTTCATTTGTCTCAAATGACAAGAAACTGGATTTCTGCTCACATGCCTCGACATGTTCCCATTACAGAAACTCAAGTATTTGCACACCAAATCAGGTACAGACAAGTGTCCATTAGTCATATGACCCACTGCATGTACGTATATATATATGTCTATACATCTGTATACACTCTCCTAGTATAGTCTTAGCTTTGCATCTGTCTTGTATTTCTGTTTTGATCGTGAGATAGACCCCCTTTTTGGTTCACAGGTTAGGAAAATTGGGGAATGAGCATCAGGGAGCTGTCTGTGGACATCCCCGCACCCCACAAAAAAAAAAAAAATCGGTCTGTTTTTGAATCTTCTCCACAGTCTTCTGTAAGCAAAGCGTCGCTGGTTGGAAAAAGTCTGGAAGAATCTTGTCCTGACAGGCTAGCGACTTCCACATGGAATAAACATAGTAAGCTAAAGTTTGTATAGTGAATCCTGATGGCTTATTAAATTTGTATACAAAACTTTTTTGTTTAATTTTTTTTTTCTTACAGGAAATACTGGAAAGATCCAACAATGGAGGACGGGAAGCCCGTTTGGGCTCCGCACCCAACTGATGGTTTTCAGATGGGGATGATTGTGGACATCGGAACTGACAACTTAACTATTGAACCTTTGAATCAGAAAGGCAAGGTAAGTGTCTCACAAACGAAGGAACAGAGAAAAACCTTACAAAAACTGTTTTGTCTGTAAGCCAAATGTTTGCAAATATCTATAAGTACACTCAGCCTGAAGGAGTGGAAAATCAGTTTTCTGTTCTGAGTTTGGCTAAGGATCATTGTTTAGCTTTCGCTTGCGTTGCAAATGAAATATCTTACTGATAAGATGCTTTCTGTCAGTTATCCTCATGTGTGTTGAGTACATAGAATCATAGAATCGTTTGGGTTGAAAGGGAACTTGAAAAGTCATCTAGTTCAGCCTCCCCTGCAATGAACAGTGGGGACATCTTCAACTAGATCAGGTTGCTCAGAGCCCTTTCCAATCTGAACATGAACTTTTCCATGGATGGGGCATCTACCACCTCTCTGGGCAACCAGTTCCAGTGTTTTATCACCCTTATTATAAAAAATATCTTCCTTATAACTAATCTTCCCTCTTCTAGTTTAAAGCTATTACCCCTTGTCCTATCACCACAGGCCCTGCTAAAAAGTTTGTTCCTGTCTTTCTTATAAGCCCCCTGTAAGTACTGAAAAACTGCAATAAGGTCTCCCCAGAGCCTTCGCTTCTCCAGGCTGAACAACCCCAACTCTGTCAGCCTGTCCTCATAGGAGAGGTATTCCAGCCCTCTCATCGTTTTTGTGCCCCTCCTCTGGACCCAGGCCAACAGGTCCATGTCCTTCTTATGTTGGGAGCTCCAGATCTGGATGCGGTACTCCAGGTGGGGTCTGACCAGAGCGGAGTAGAGGGGCAGAATCACGTCCCTTGACCTGCTGGCCACGCTTCTTTTGATGCAGCCCAGGATACAGTTGGCGTTCTGGGCTGCGAGCTCGCGTTGCCAGCTCATGTCCAGCTTTTCATCCACCAGTACCCTGAAGTCCTTCTTGTCAGGGCTGCTCTCAATCCCTTCATCCCCCAGCCTGTATTGACCAGGGGTTGCTCTGACCCAGATGCAGGACCCTTATGAAAGAGAGGAGGATTGAATCTCCATAGCCATTTGTTTCAGTACTGTATACTTTATTTTTTTAAATTAGAGACTGGTTAAGAATCTGCTGTTGAGATTAGCTTCTCTCTTTTCCCTTATATGCATAGAGAGTGTCCTACAGGGTTGTCCTAGGCTCTGGCTTAGATGAGATACCTTACTGTTAGACTGATGAAGATTGAGAGATGAATCCTCTTACCTCAAGTACCTTGAGAAGTAACGATGTCAAACAAAGGTCCTATGGAATTGATACATCAAATTAAAGGCAAAATAAATGTAACTTTTAAAATGAAGTCCTAATTCATCCTAATTAGTGTGTTACAACTGATTCATTTATCATGACATCTTTCAGATTCAGTACATTGTAATTAAATGTCAGTTTTTACAGGAAGCGCCTTGTATCTATCAATTATCCTACTTCAGATGGTCAGCATCCTGGTTTTTGCTATCTGGAATAAGATCAGACACTGTTTTAAAAGTTGTGATTTTTTGCCTTTGTGGATATGTGACATGTGCCCTTTCTAACAATTTTGTTGTTTCAGTGTCTTCAGGTGTGGAAAAGACAAAGTATTTTTTGTAACTTCTTTTTTAATGTCAACAATAGTAGAGAATGTCTTGTCACAGGTCAAAATGTTACACAGCAGTCCTTCCTTTTGGTGGAATGTTTATAGGCTTTTTTCTACGTCTTGGAGAGGAAGTTGATTTTGCTTTCCTTAGAAATAAAAAGCAAGTGCAACGTCTGATTTTTGTGTGTGAGAGAGAAAGTCTGTAGGTTTAGTAGTAGCAGTATGCATTCTTCAGTTTGGGGAAGAGCAAAATTATTCAGAGAAGAATATTACATATTCCAAAGCTATGGCTAAGTAGTCTTTAACTGACTTAAATGATTTTGACCCCCACCGCTATTTGTGTTTATATCCCCAAATGGCTCTGATATGATAAAGAGCAAAAGTCTGTGTATTGAAACAGAAACAGACAATAAGGAGATTCCTGAGTCAGTATTTATTTCGAAGTTATGCTTCTTTCAGGGATTTTTTTGTTTGTTTTTGTTTGGTTTTTTTTTTTTTGTGAAAGCAAAAGAATGATCCTAGAATACAAATATTTTGCTTCATGGTTCACAACAAACAATCTCTTTTGTCTAGAAGGTTTGTTGTTCTGCTGTTGGCTGTTCTCTTGAATTAAGCAGATCAATTAAGGGCCTAATGTTCATTCATCTAAAGGAACAAACACCTCACAGTTTAAATACCGTAGAGATTATGGTCCTATATTTCTAATTATCAAACTTCCTTATATTAATAGAGGTGGAGTAAAACATTTTCTTGATTACCTTCTCAGTCTTTTCAAGGTGTCGTTGATTTCTTCTTACAGTGAAATGGTTCTCATTTCTTTTTGTCTTTTTAAGAAGACTCTGTTCTTGTGCACTTAGACCATTAATTTGAAGTAGTCAGCGTTAATACCCATTATTATCAACTTTGTTTACTTAAAATGGTAGTTCAAAAGTGCTGTTCAGTAAGAAGGAGTGATCCAGCAGCTCCGGAGTTGCCCATGATAATTACAGGGAGGAGAGGAGTAACCTGATCTTGTAAACATATCCGGGCAGTGTAACTTATTATTATTTTTTAATCTGGGTCATTAACATGTCATATGTATTCTCTGTAGGTGCTGGTAGTTTACCAGAGATCACAGGCTGAAAAGGAAATGTGTATGCATATGTTTGATTATTCCCTTTTATACTACTTAATGGTTAATTAAAATATGTTGCTAATAACTGCAATAAATGCTGCAAGGCAGCAGTTTCAGGATGTCTTAAAATCTTCTCCCCTTTCCCCACCCGTAGCTAGCTCTTGTGTTGCAGAGTGTCAACACCAGTTGCAGTCTGCCCACTGAGCTGTGCGTGACAAAGCAAAGGAGGTCAGAGCACAGATCCACCTTAAAAATGAAGAAGTGGAAAGTTTTCGGGAGGGCAGCAAGCAGTGGCAGGGTGAGGAGGACCTGAGGCCATCATGGCTTTAAATTGCTTTGTATAACGAAATCAAGTTATCCAGTCCAGACTGGGTGAAGGTAGTTGGCCAGCACACTCATTTGCTTAGAAACCAGCAATAGCAGTTTTGGGTACCTTCAGCCCATACAGAGTTAACAACATCATTTACATTTCTGTGTGGAGGCTGGGTGTCTAAAGAGAGGTGGGGATCTGAGTCACCCAACCTGCACTGTACAAAGAAGAGTAATCCAAGCTGCAGGAGTGCGTTATCAGAACAGAGGATGCATGTGTTACAGGATGGGAGCTACTTCCCGAAAACTAGATCATCAGCTTGCGAGGCTGATAAATGCCACGACTGGAAAGAAAACAGAGAAACTGAAGAGGGGTTTGCTAATGAGCATGGTCCCACCTGGGGCTGGAGCGCTGCCCTGAGGATGGGCTCCAGACCGGACTGGGCGCTGTGGCTGGCAGCCCTGGCCCGTGTCCCACCAGCAGTCGCATGCTGGTGTACAAGGAAGGAGGCGGGTAGAAAGGCAGCCAGTTGTTAACTAGGATTGCATTTACACTTCTACTTTGGGTGTACTTTTCTGAACTTACTGGGAATCCTAACCTCAGATCCTGTTGCATATATTCATTTTGTTGTGTTGCTTCATGCTGTAACAGGGAGAAGGCAGATGACAGTGCAATTGCCAAATGGGGAATTTGCTCTTTTCCTGGAGGTAGGAAATCTAAGTAAAGCAATTATGAAGAGATGCCTCAGAGGGACTTGTACCCTGAGATACCATCCCGGGACCCTGGTGGCCCTGAGGAGTTTGGGGGGCAGGCATTTCTTAGAGCATCAGCAGTAATGAGTTTCTGGCAGTCATTGGGAAGGTGTGGGGTGCTGCAGGAACCCACTGACACTCCTCCTGCAGTCAACTGAGAGGCACTTTGTGGCTCTGCGCCAGGTCTGAAGGGTCATGGAGGGCTTTATGGGGCACCTGCTCTGGTATGCTGTGAATAAGGGGAAAGGTATTTTTCCAGGCTAAGTATAAATGAATAAATGCACTTTGAAAGTAAGGATCAGAATGTCCAAAGTTCAGTGCTTCAAGCTAAAGGGTTTGTTTTGTTTTTTGTTTTTTTTTTTCAGCAGTGAGCGCAGCTTGCATTGCACAAATGAGACATATTCTTGTCTGTGTTACACACCATTTGTACTGCTGTGGGTTTGTGAAATACAGCTGAGAGTAGGGATGTCTCCTGTCTGTATCTGGAAGGTATAAAGGGAGACACGGTTACACGTATTGGATTACATGGCAGAAAGAAGATCCTGCTTGAATGGAAAGATATCTTTTTTCACTCATCTAGTTTCTGGGAGAATAGTTAAGATTGCCATTGGATTTCAAGGGCTGCTTCATTACAAAGAGAGGAAAAAAACCCTACAAACCCCCCTAAACCCTGTTTTGCCTCCTGAGACCATTTTATTGTCTCATAAGATTAATACCCTCTCCATTTTCTTAGAACAAGTTTGTCCTAAACTATGCCTTAATGCAAAAGTCTTCCACCAAATGTCTGAAGTGTTTTCTCCTTACAATAAATATTTTAAAAAAATAAATAATGGTAAAGAATTTCTTTGGATAATTTTTTATTAATAGACCTGGTTACCTTGCCCATTTTCCTATTTAATATATTAGATTTTAAAAGTCATTGGCAATACTCAGGGCTCTGCACATCTAGCTAACGTACTTACCTACATAACAAGTAATCACCTTACATAAAGCAGGTGTCCAGCTGATAAATACAGGAGTGAAATTCTTTGTTGACGTAGATGAAACTAGGCTTCACGTACTGATCTAACGAAGTCCAGGAGAAAAACATCAGCTTTCAGATAACTCTTCTTCATACTGCTTATTTATCACTTCTGAAATACTCTAGAAATGAATTCACAATTCACATTGAGTGAAAAAAAATGAAGGAGGACATAATACAGCATGAACTCTCATTATTTTTTTCATTGACATTTATCTTGGATCAGAAGGCTGAGTGGTGAGGACATTGAAAAAGCTCTTCCTTCCTCTTCTGGACTAGATCTGGTATGGCTGACTTTAGATCCATGAAATGTTTAAGTATCAGAGACCTGTGAAGAGTCTTACAGAATAGCTGGGTATTGTGTTCATTCTCTTCTGTGAAAAAAAAATAAATCTGTCTTTTTCTGGTGGTTAAACTTGCGTTACACATCAGCAGACAAGAACAAGAAGTGAAGTTAGATTTTCGTGGAGCCAGTCATATTTTTTTCTTAAACTTTTCCACTGTTTCATGCACAGTGAACTGATTACATGGGAAACTGTTGTGTTCAAATATATCTTTACCCAATGAGATGCACCTTAATTGTTGACAAACTTGCAGAGAAAATTATTAGGATAATACGATCTGACTGCAATATTGTGAGAGGGAGGAAAGGGGGAGTCGGGGGGAAATCTCTGCGCTGCTAAAACTCTAAATAGCAGCCGGCAACTTTCTTAGGTAGCTAAAGACGCTCAGGTCCTCCAGAGCTCTACCGAGTTCTGATAAAGGATATTTTGGAGGTAGCTGGTCCGGTGGATGTTCAGACTTTCCAACATCATTGAGCAGTTCTGTTTCCCTTAGGAAAGCTTCTTAGGCATGTTTTTCTGCATTAGATCCTGATAAGGGAATGACAAAATATAATTTATTATGACTACAAATTGCATACTGTACGATAACTTTGTAGGGAAGGGATATTATAGACTTACTGTTTTCTGACTGGCAGCAATTAAGTTCTGCTTTGAGACATTTTTAACCCTTCCCACTTCAAAGGGAGTTGGAATTTGTGGCTGTGCATGATGGTGTAAGCTACAAGAGCTCACATATTGTGTCTATTGTACTGAGGCAAAGATGAAGCAAGTTGCTGTATTTCTCCTAAACTTCCACATGAGATGTTTCTCATGGGACCGTCTTGCTGAGTACAATGTTAAACAAGCAAACATGTTTGTTTATTGAGGTCATTCTTTAGGTCCAGTGGGTTGCCTTTTCAAATATTAGACTAGACTTCTTGTCTCCGTTTCCACAGGGAAAAGGAGACTGCCTGCAGCAGCATGGCGGCTGCCGTGTTTAATTGGTACAACAGGGTTTTTGTTCATTCATAGGTAGTGCAAACAAGCTATTACTGCAGTAAACAAAAAAGTATAATTAAAAACCTACCTCTTCCAATAGGTATTTTTGTGCAGATGCTGTAATGCATGTGTGCTAGGATGTTTTTCCTTCCTTTTTACAACAATATAAATTATGATTTCTGGAGAATAAAGAAGAAACAAAGTTGCTTTTGTTATGAATTTTTCCAGTTGGATGTGAACACTTGATAAATGGCTGTTTTGTATAATGGGAATACAAGGGTTGAAGGAAGGTCTTACTTTACTTTAGTGTTGATTTATTGAAGGAAAAAAAATGCAACAAGCAACAACCAAGGCTACAGTGTTTGGGGATACAGAGGATATTATGTATTGAACATTTATATTTTAAGTAGGAATGTTTAAAAACAGCATATGATAATGACAGCTCAGTCCTTTGAACTAATAATTTGGTTTTTATTCTTTGTGTTTCTTTGCAAACCTGAGGAAGTTGTATGTCCTTTACAATGTTGTTCCCTTTGCAGTATGTTTTTTTTATCTTTATTTTTTATATTACGTGATATTACAATATGACATGCAATTTTGGAAATGAACATCAAATATTGTTGCAACAAAAATATATACTACGGTGACTGCAATTTTATAATGTAGTGTAGTAATGTAAATGCAGCAGCTCCTACCTGCATCTAGTAACTCAGTAAAATTTCCAATGCTGAAGTATAAAGCTGGCAACTTTGTTTTAAATCATACACTATTACAGTGCACTCACTTGTATCTTTGCATCAGATACCTTTGAACTATATTTCTATTTTTATAGAACTCTGACAATGTTAATATGTTTCATTTAACAGACTTTCCAGGCTGCTATCAATCAAGTGTTTCCTGCGGAAGAGGACAGCAAAAAGGATGTAGAAGATAATTGTAAGTTATGAATTTAAAAATAAATTATGCATTTGAAAAAAATATCTGTATAGAAAAGAATATTGTTTCCTTACAAGCTTCCTGTAGTCTGTGTTTTGTGTCGTTGCTTGAATTTATGTATGACCTCTACACTAGTCCTTTAAACTTCTTCAGTGATTTTTAAAATGGGCTTACTTTATTGTGTTTTTTAGTTTTCAGTTGAACACTTTAGAGAAAGTCATAGTTACATTATTGTCACATACAGCTGTTACCTGACTTCAGATACATAGCAGATGTCACCTAACTGCATCGGGACCAACTGCCTTCAGCATTATGGGGATTAACTATATCTTTTATAGTGCAGCAAAAGAATTAGTTGCTTTATCAGCAGCTGTATTGTACAGCATTTTCCTGCATGTAACCCATTTCTCAGATAGCATTCCTGTGGAAGTACAGGTAATTGAAAATAAATTTTAAGATAATCTTCCCAAAACGGGAGACAGAAATCTGGACCCATCAAGGCCATTGGAAAAGGCAGTAGATTATAGTGAATTGGATACAGGAGTTCTTCTGGAGAAGGAATTTTGAGGTGAACTTGTGTAATAAACTTTAGTGTTGATCTGCAGGGCTTTTATTTTGTTAAATATTTTCTAGTTGGGTGTGTGGAAACAAATATTCTATTCAAATATGGGGAGAGAGCACCAAGAAAGATGAGTAAGCGCTAGCATCAGTGTTTAGAGAACTGTTAAACAAATATTTTGCTGCTGTTGCTCTGTGTGAACAAATCACAGAGACTCTCCTGTCTTGAAAACCTGATGAAGGTGATTCTTTTAAACATTTCCTGTGTCTTTTACTGGTTGGTGCAAATACTGGTAACTTTGTAAATGGCAGGCAAAAGTATCTTCTACTGTTCCTCATTTAAAATAGAGGCTAGGACTTTGAAAGTTGTTTAGGCGACCTAACCACAATTCCTGTTTTCAAATAGGGGTTAGTATTTATATCCTGTGGCAGGAAATACAGCTGAATGTTACAGCTGCTCCGTAAGGAACAAGAAGGTGAGATCTGACTTAGATGGTGCAGTGTCGTTACAGGTGGAACCAAGCTGGTAGCCTTGCTTCCAGTTGCTTATATTTTTGCAAACATTATGCAGGTTGAAACTTTTCAAAGCTGGTATCTGTATTCTCTGCACGTGGTGATTGTTAGGGAAATGCAAATCTGTGCATCTGTCACAGTTCTTTTACTGAGATGTCCTGGCACTTCAATGTCTCAGGGAAATGAAATTTGTAGTGAGATTACAGAAATAATCTGAGATTCCCGCAAAATACTATTCAATTAAGTTAAAACAGTCTTCCTATCACAGAAAATGTTATCTTTGACTTACTGAGTAAAATACAAAACTTAGAAATGCTTTTTCCAGTAATCCTTTCTGTATCAAACGTTATTCTGAGACTTTTCTAACATATTCTCACTTTTTGTTCACTTGTTGAGGTTTATCTCCAGGATGCATTAAACCCAAGTTCATTTTCCTTCTCTGCCAGACAGCGTCTGTGCTGAGCATCACTGATCTTTAAGAAAAAACTTAAAATAAAATACTGAGTGCTTTCAGTCTCACCTTATAATACTGTTCTGAAAAATCCTGAAAGACTAGTTAATGATACACTTACTATTCCAGCCTATGTTTTAGTAGGAAGTAATTTGCTGAAGTATTGCTTTTTTGCACCCTCAGTCTTCCATATCCCAAAGGCACTAGCTGCAAGAGACACCTTTTTGAGAATCTAGCCCTTCCTCAAATTTGATTTTTTCAGTAAATATTGCAAGCAGTACAAACACAAAGCATCTACTCCCCCCGCCTTTCTGTGATTCACATTCCTCTTCTGCTCTCCCCAAACTCCACTCAGTTTTGTGGGGTTGTCACCATATGTGCAGTCTTCCATATCCCAAAGGCACTAGCTGCAAGAGACACCTTTTTGAGAATCTAGCCCTTCCTCAAATTTGATTTTTTCAGTAAATATTGCAAGCAGTACAAACACAAAGCATCTACTCCCCCCGCCTTTCTGTGATTCACATTCCTCTTCTGCTCTCCCCAAACTCCACTCAGTTTTGTGGGGTTGTCACCATATGTGGAATTTTTATTTTTTTATGGCCAAGAAATTTTTTTTATTTTTTTTTAATTAAAAAAAAACAAAACAAAACCCGAGATAAGAATCTTTTTTAAAAAAAAAAAGTTCTGCAGATGCAGAGCCTTACAATTACTTGAAAAAATTATTTTCCATAAAACCCCTGCTTCATTGTGTGCACAGGAGAGCTAGTATGAGTAAATTTAACATTGATATTTCCTAGCTTTTAGTGCCTGACTTCACTTCTGTGAACTTTTTGTGTGTGTGTAAGTAAATATGTGGACTACTAAATGCACATACATACATTGGTTATATTTAGGCATAAGCCACATGAATATTCAGAATTCTCTCTCTGGTGACTTCCTTTGCCTCTGGATATGGATGCCTCTTTTAAAGGATTTATTCTAAAGAAGATACATTTCGAAGTTGCTGACATAAGCCTTAGTTTGCATGCCTTGAGTGGAGGCAGCAACATCCCCTGGGGGAGCAAGCTCCCATTACACACTGAGTCTGCAGGTATAACTACTTTAACAAGGACCTGCTAGGAGAGTACTGCGGACACACTGAGATTTGGGGTCCTTTGTAGTTTAGGTAATTATCAAGTTTTTATTAGGGTGCTTAACTGATGACTCTTTCCTTTAAGACATACTGCAAACCCTGAGAGGTTCTTATGAAGAGAGGGTCAAGGGAGAGGATGCTTTCTTTAAGCGTATGTAGACAATTACTATATAGTAGTTCTTCAACTCGATACTGAGAATCCAAATGACTTAAATAAATTAGCAAACGTAAAGTTAACACCCTCCCCTCCCCCCAAGGCACACACAAGAAGAGGAGGAGATTTTAACTTTTATGAGAGCAAGCAGGAGTTTCTGTTTCTGGCCCATTTCCTTGTAACGTCTCTTTCTCTTGGGGTGACCTTCTTAAAAAAGATGAAGGTGGAAGAGGTCTGTGGAGGCAGACCTGCAGGTTGCAGTCCCAGCGCAGTGTTCTCAGCTACGTGGACTGAGTGTGCTGGCAGTGTGCCCAGGTGGCCAAGAAGGCCAACAGCATCCTGGCCTGTATCAGGAATAGCGTAGTGAGCAGGACCAGGGAAGTGATTGTCCCCTGGTACTCCGCACTGGTGAGGCCCCACCTCAAATACTGTGTTCAGTTTTGAGCCCCTCATGACAAGAAAGACATCGAGGTGCTGGAACGTGTCCAGAGAATGGCAACGAATCTGGTGAGGGGTCCGGAGAACAGGTCTTATGAGGAGCGGCTGAGGGAACTGGTGTTGTTCAGCCTGGAGAAAAGGAGGCTCAAGGGAGACCTTATCACTCTTTACAATTACCTGAAGGGAGGTTGTAGAGAGGTGGAGGTTGGTCTCTTCTCACTTGTAACAAGCGATAGGACAAGAGGAAATGGCCTCAAGTTGTGCCAGGGGAGGTTTAGGATGATATTAGGAAAAAATTCTTCACCGAAAGAGTTATCAAACATTCGAACAGGCTGCCCAGGGAAGTGGTGGATTCACCATCCCTGGAGGTATTTAAAAGACGGGTAGACATGGTGCTTAGGGACACAGTTTAGTGGTGGTCTTGGCAGTGTTAGACAATTCAATGGGGAGGGGAAGAGGAGAAGTTCTGCGTTCAGGTGCCTCTGCAGCAGTGACTGCATGGTTTGTGGGTGGTGTGGGTCTGCTGGGGTGGCAGGGGAAAGGCCGTGGTGATGGAGGCCAGCCTGCTGCTTCATGAAGGTATCATGCACAGGCCCAATTCCAAGGCTCTTATGATCCAAAGGGAGATTTTACTTAGCCTAAAGCTAAAGCATGGGTGGTGTGCATCCACCAACACAGGGATGTGTATGCAAAGGATTTTGTGGAGAAAATGATTTCTTCTAAACAACCCAGGTCCTTTGAGAAGCATGAACAATTTGAACCGTTTGAAGCAAAGCTACGTTTAGTCATGTAATGGAAGGAATGGCTGTTATTCAGTGGAGCTACGCAAGCCATAGTGAGGCTGCAAATGGCTACTGAACCTGCCTCCGCTTGAGGCCGATCTCAGGTGGTAGGAGGCAGAGCCACTCCTGGGTCCACTGTGGAAGGAAAGGGAAAAGATTGAAGACAAAAACACAGATGCTCTTGAGAAGCTCCCATTATCCTTTGCCAGTATCTCTTGGTTCAGCTGGAGAAGTGTTGAAGGAGATGTTAAGAGCTGCTTACTGAGCTTCAGGCATCCTTGCAGGGTGAGGTGGCTGGCCAGGTTGACTTTGGGTCATCAGAACTGGCAGCCCTTCTTCCACATTTCTTCAAATATGTTGGAGTACATTTTACCTCATTGGAGTACATTTTACCTCAAGAAAGGGCATTGGTCCAACTTGAGAAACAGCTTTGTTCGTCTTTATAGATGAGAGGTGCATACGTGGCCCTCGTGTGAGGTCTGGGGTAGCAGTTACAATTACAGGCACAGTGATCACTCCATCAACAGTAGGCAGATGCATACAAGTTTTTAAGTGATGCTAGTACTGTAAGGTTTACCATTCCGTCAGTTGTAACTAGCCAAAATAGCGTTGGGTACTTGAATATTAAGTGGTGAGAAAAAGAGGATTAAGCATATTTGAAAATGCAGGCTGTGTAATGAGTAGTGCCCTCAGTTGGTTTAGGGATAATGTTTTTAATATTGTTACAGCGGGAACTGGTAATGACCTCTGTAATTAAGGCTGCCAACACTTTCCAGTGCTTTGTAGCTGAAAACAATGACCAGCTTTGCCAGAATGTGAACCTGTATGGTCTGAAGCTTTCTGTGGGTGCCTGCTCGCTGCCTTGAGCCGCTGCCTTGTAACATTTCAGCAGAGTTAGTTCAGTTATTTTATATTAACAAGCGAAGATAAAAAATAGCTAGGTTTTTCTGTGCTAACATTCCCCCCCCGCCGGCACCCCCCCCAGTTTCTTTGAGGAGGCCTGGTAGCCACAGAATTCCAAAGTGAAAGGCATTGGTGCCTGGTGTTGCAATGATGCCTGCTGCTGCCTCTAGCACAGTATGTCCCGATTGAATCAGTGAATATAAATATCTAAAAATCACCAGAACACAGCAATTACTCTAAAGGTCCATTGGATGGTATTACCTTGTGGACACTGTGGCAGAGATTGGAGAGGGGAACTGGAAAGAAGGAAACGGTTGGTCTTGGGGATTTTGGTAGGCATCGATTTCTGTGCTTACAGGACAGCATGGAGGGAGACGCACCATATTTGTCTGAAATGCTGGTAAAAGGGAGCCTGCGCTGAGCAGGGCCTGTGTTGAGACTCCTGCAGTCTGATTCCTTGTTCACCAACTCTCTGTAACTCCAGTTGTACAGTAAAGAGCAGGTCTACGGTTTTTAAAACGTATATTGAGTCAGCAGTTCTTCCTCAAGACAGTGTAGAGAAATGATAGAACTAAAATACAACCAAAGAGAGTGGAAGTAAAATTCTCCATAATCCTAAGATTTAGTTGCTTGGCTGTACATGAAGCTGGTCCTGAGCCCTTAATGGTGTATGATTGTCTTTTACTTGCAGGTTCCCTTATGTATCTAAACGAAGCCACTCTCCTTCACAATATCAAAGTTCGGTACAGTAAAGACAGAATTTACGTAAGTATTACATGTCATGACAACCAGTCTAATGATGTCCTTTCAAAAAAATCAACAAAACAAGTGTTTACAATTCTGTGTTTTCTTATAACAGAAAGTAAACGGAAATGGTAACATTGGAAACTTAGGAGGTTTTAGGGTTTTTTTTGTGTTTTTTTTTTTTTTAACATTATACCCTGTTTGAGATCTGAATTGCAATCACCTTAATTTTAGCTAATTTTTACGAGGCAGAGTAATAGATTTTTCTCTACATGACTGTTCATGTGCACCAATAGCACAGCGTTTTATCACAAAGGTCCGTTCCTACAGGTAACTTACTTCGCCCATAGAGTAGCTGTTAACAAAGATGGTTTTCTTTCTTCATTATTTTTGAACGAAGCAAACAGGTGCCGTCTTTGACACCTCCTAGCTCAAATGTCCATCTTAATCTTTTATATTGCTATCACATTGCCTAATTGTACTTAATGAATTCTGACTAAATTACATTTTGTCCTTGCCATCTGCCCAGACACTGACAGCTGTGAAATAGAAGATAGATAAGAGCTTGCTTTCTTTCTTATTTTTTTGTATTTCTAATAGCAGGCTGACTAGTGGTGATACAAAACAGTTCTACATATTTTCTAAGGGTCGGTGTTAAAATAATTCTCTTGCGTTAGCATACTGTTCTAAAATGAAGTAGAGTTAACCCATTTTATATAAATGTAAAAAGAAAGTATAGTTGTTTTCTTTTGTTGCAGTTAACTGTACATAGCTATAAATTCTTTATGGCTCAAGATCAAGCACCAGCTTTAAAATAAATTTAAAAAATAGCCATTTGAACACTGTTCTGGAAAAATAATAATTAAAAAAAACCCCAAAAAACTCAAAGGAAGTAAAATTCTAAAACTGAACTGCTTATGAGGTAGGATAGTATTTAGGTTCATAAAGCCTTTCTTCATTGTAAATAAATACTACTAATACATTGTCCTAAGCTGGTGTATTATCTGGAGAAAAAAATAAAGGTTCAATTCATATTTTAACTCCCTTCCTTTCTAACATTAAGTTACAGTTTGAATCAACAATTTTTTTTTTCTTTTTGTTTAATGCTGGTTAACAGTATTTGTCTTGTTACTAAAAGGAAAACTAGTATTACTACTTGCAGCTCTTGAAGAAATGTTTTTCTTCAGTAAAATAAGTGCTGAAAACAGAGGCAATTAAGGAAATTCATATATTGTGTGTGATCCAGCCTCGTATCAACATAGCATGATAATGTCCAAATTTCAGTTGTCTAGGGATATGCTCATTGACAACAAACAAAATAAGTTATTCAAGCTGAAGGTTTATCTGATTTTCTTCAGACCTTTTCCTGCAAATCTGCTTTTTTCTGTGATTCAGACATCTGTTCTTCCTTGCATGTAATCTGGCCATTATAACCAAACTATGAAAGTTTTTTTCAAAACCTTAAAAAAACCCTTATCTTCAGTCTTCCTTATCCTATGGAAAGGTAAAAAGCAGTCTTGGTTTGAGATTCTTTTGAAATTCCTTCTCTGTGAGAGAACATTTGCATTCTGTATTTCTCACCGTGGATGCAGCCATAGCTAATTTCTCTCGGCTGAATGCTTTTATTGCCTGGCTTGAGAGCGTTCCCAGGCAGGGTCCTGTCGGTCCTTCCTGGTGATTTTTTGCTGAGTTTCTTCCATTAGATATTGAAAAATTATCCTCCTCATTGGAGGAGAGTGCATTGTGCTAGCCGGAAGCTTAGTTTATTCACTTTGAGGAGGAGCTTGTGGTGTCTTATTCTTGATCCAGTAACTCGGACAATAGGAAATAATTTAAAAGGAGATTGGGAGAAAGGTCAAATTCAGGACATGCTCCACAACTCAGTGGTTAGGAAATTCTCCCAAGACGTGCTTTTTCAGAGAAGTCCCGAGAAGATAATTAGATGAATTCTGAAAATATATCCCTTTTTTATAACTGCATTAGATGGAGATAATTGTAAATGTAATTGTTATACTTAGGCTGTAGCCTTCAATAGTAACAGGAAATTGCTGTTAACCATTTGGTTGGATACTAGCTAATAGTTTGCTGTTAATTGTTTGTTGGTTTTTTTTTTTTTTCACAGACCTATGTAGCCAACATTCTTATTGCAGTGAATCCATATTTTGATATACCTAAGTTCTATTCTTCAGATACTATTAAAAAGTACCAGGGTAGATCACTTGGAACATTGCCACCGCATGTTTTTGCTATTGGTATGTATTAAGCATGTATTTGTCTTTTACAAAACAAACATTAAATACTTCACAGTTATCCCATAAATTGCCACCTGTAACAGTAATTAATTTACTTTAAACTGTTATAAAATAAATCCACTGATTGCTAAAATTGCAAATCTTGTTGGAATTTGAAGAACTTGTAACTTAGAAACCCTGGCAACCCTATTGGTATTATTCTGTACCTCCAGTGTTTTATGTCTAAGCAGTTTAAATATAATTCACAACCATTTAAAAAAAAAAAAAGAAAGAAATTCAGATTTTAGAAGTGAAGAATGACATAATTATGATTGGTACTGTCTTTCAGAGTAGCGATTTCCTTTGCCTTTTATTATGTTGCCAGAGCACAGGCACTGTTTCTTTTTATATGCTCATGTTATAGGCAGACAGTGCCTTTAAATGTTATTAACAGGATAAATCTGATTTCAGTCACTTTGTTTAAGAAAGAAAATTGTTTGGAAGTTACAAATCAACATTTGGCTTGTTAAAAGCCTTCTCATCATGTTGCATTTTGTTTTGTAATCAAAAATATAAATGGCTGGGTTTTTAGTACCTGTTGCATAACAAGAAAACTACCCACGTCTTTGCAAGTTTCCTTGTCTCCGATGCTATTTGTTACAAAGTACAACTGAAAGTTTCCCTTTAAATGGCACGTTAAAGTAAGATTGGTTACAATTTTGTAAATACATTTAATTCGAGAGATTTAGTGGTAGGTGGTGGGGGTTTTTTTAATTTTTTTTATTTTGTCCTGGATATAGTTGAGTAGGTCTTTGTTTTTAAAGACTTTAAGCTCTTACATGTCAGTGTTTGAGGGTGAGCAACTATAATATAATTGAAAGGGAAACAGGCGCTAATAAGTTGTGATGCACTCAATTGTAAAGATTTACTTGTCTTTTCCTGAAAACTTTACATTTTAATTTTTGTATTGTAGCTTAACTTTATGGTTGCAACTCTGCTGAATTTTAATTTTTGTCATGTTTAACCTATTCTTCTTTTTAAGCTGATAAAGCATTCCGTGACATGAAAGTGCTCAAAATGAGTCAGTCCATCATAGTCTCTGGAGAATCAGGAGCTGGCAAGACAGAAAATACTAAATTTGTTTTGAGGTTTGTGCTTTTAGACCAAAGTTATTCATTGAATTTCCTGTGTTGATGCATTTGGTTGACATACAGACAGATTAAATTGTAAAGTAATCAGTAGGTTTAAGCCACAATTCAGTAAGATACTTCTATGTACACATTAATACAGGAAAGTCATAGGGTTAAACTTAAATGCAGACATAATAACATGGAAATGGCTATATATTCACAGAAACCTTAACTCTGTTGTAGTGACATCATGTAGTAGTTATGGTTTATGATGCAGTCATTTTGGTATTGCACATCTGGTATTGTGGTAGATGAAAACATAACTAGGCATTTTAACTGTATCTTGCAAGATACTGTTGGTTTTGCCATAAATGTGCATTTCTGTGTTTTCCCTGTCTTTGTTTCTTTGGTTTGCTTAAGCATCCAGGGCTTTTAACTCTTGATTTTGAGATCACTGTAGAGATTCTGTAATATACTTTACCCTCATTTACTGAATAAGACTGAATAACGGGATTTAGTTATTTATTGATGTTCATGTATGACCGATACTAAATCAAGCATATTAAGCTACATGGCAGCCATGTTGCTGATATATGGCAGCCTTGCTTTCTCTTATATGATTTTAATGTTTTTGACCATATTTGCTTTATACTTTAACTGCTTTATATCACTCTGGAACACTGTTACTGGAAAGCACTGCTCCATTAAATTCCCCTATATCACAGGTGGCCTGATTATCCAGGGCAGCAGTATGCAAGCAGTATGAATATGCTTCCTTCCTCACCTTGTCCTTGTTCCCCAGTATAAATCTTTAATTCCCTTTTCCCTGACATCATGTATTCTCTAGTATGTATGTACAGTAGAGGTAGTATCTTCCACATCCCTTGAAGAACTGTCATGGCTGTCTGTCCTTCACACTGCTCTTCTCTGCCCCTGTGCAGCCTTTAATAGAATTACTTCAAGGTGCTGGTAACGATTTTTACAGGGGACATCCTAACTTTGATCCTGCTAAAGACTAAACAAAGACAGCAGGCACTGGGAGAACATCTCCTGAGGAATGCTCTCAAAGGACGTTATTCTTCTGCTTCTCGGCAAAGGAAGTTCTGATTACACGGCAGACAAATACTGCTGCTGCTTCTCCCCCCCCGCCCCCATAGAGTCACAGAGTTTTAAAACAAGGAAGATTTTTCCCTTGTGTGGTCAGAAAGAAAAAGGTGCTAGTACAGCTCAGTTATTGCTCCTAAATATTTTTAGAAGGCCTCATTTTTGAGAACTGTTTTTAACATGTCCCAGATCTACTTGTGAATTTCCACAAAGCATGCCCTGTGCGTGGGGGTGGGGGGCGGAGAAGAGGAGAGCTGCAACTTTGGAGCAAGTAACTTTGTGGATTTATTTTCAAATTCTTTCTTCAGTTGATAAATTGAGTCTTACCTTGATTATGCACCTGCAATTTCCTATCTCACCATCTCCATGTGGGATTTTTATTAACACTGGTTAGTTCTGAACACAGAAGCTGTATGTATGGAAGCAGTCTTTAATTCAGGAAATACATATGAAACCTCATGTGTTTACCAAGATTATTAATAGCTACAGATAGTACAATAGTAGCATCATTATATTTGTATAAAAGTGTGATTTACATATGCTAGATATTCTAGAAGAAATTTCTAACGTCTCTTGAAGTATTGAAAAAAATCTGAAGTCTGCAGGAATATTTTTGTTTTAACAAAAAAAGAAAAGTCAAACTGCATTTATTTTAAAAGATATAGGTATTTGGAACTTGTAATCAGTATGCTTTCCCTTTAGTAAATGGTTAGTAAGTATGGTGCACAGATGTGCTAAGTCCTGTTGAGTTGAGGTAACCTGACACATGAAAGATACTGATATTTTTATCTTGTTTTACAGGTATTTGACAGAATCCTATGGTTCTGGCCAAGATATTGATGATAGAATTGTAGAAGGTATTGCATTTTCTTTAATTGAATTAAAGGTTCCAATGTTTGATTTGGTGTTTTTGGTTTGCTTTTTTTTTGGTCAAATTTGAAATGTCAGTCAACAGTAACTAAATAAAAGCTAGGATGGAAATACTATCAGACTTCCTAGGGTATCGTTTACTAGTAGTTTACTTTGATCCTAAATTCTGAAACATATTTTTTATTTTTATTTAGTATAGTGTCATGTAGTCCTTGATCTAGAAAATATTTTAAGTGTATGTTTGAGTTGAACTTCACACACACGTGTACCAAAGATTGGATTTTATGCTGTGTGAAATCTGCAAAACCAATCTTATGTTCTCATTACTATTTGTTTGTATCAGGAAAGAGTAATTCCTCCTTCTTCTTATAAAGTTCTCAAAGTCAAATAAAGCAGGGAAGTTCTTTTAAATTATGGTTCTGCATCATTTTCTGTAGGTCTTTTTTGTCAGAAAGCACATAATTAGGATTAACAATTTCATTGTGTCTGTCTTTATAATAGGCTCCCAAACCAGGTCAGAAGAGACTGTGTTGATCATCCAGTTGAGCCTCTTTAATGTTGTATGCACTCCCTAATTAAACATTTTGAGAAAACATAAATATCTCAAAACCAAACAACTCTCAGCCAATTTAATAACGCCTCATATGTCAGTTTTAGTCTTCTACAGCATATAGTAGACTACTTTTGGAATTTCATTACTCTGTCTTTTTCTTAAACCAAAAATGTTTACTTTTCCTTTTGCTTTAAATTTTCTATTTGCACATTCAAGACACTGGATTATTTGAGAGAACTACTGCAGGCTTTAATCTCTTCTTGCTGTAGGTTTGCTTAAACCAATTCCTTAGTGAAATCCACTGTATGCTAAAGGAACTCAGAACGTGGCCAAGTGTTGGATAATGCCTGATGCAGTATGCCATAAATTCAATTTGTACTTGTAGGTATTCTTAGAAAAGTTTGGGTTTTTTAATCTAAAGCAGCACCTGATGCATGAATTTTGACGTTTAGGCACAATTTTAATGAACACGCTTACAGCATATGTATTACTAGAGGAACCTTTAACCTATCTGAAAGACCTCTTGCAATTTGTTTTTATTCATAATCTTTTCTTCAAAACTGTTAATATTATGTAAAATACCTGAATAGTTATCAAATATCTCTTAACAAGTCTTTTTGAAAGTCAGATTTGCATTTTCATAAGCTTTAAGTATTAAAAAATGAAAATCTAGCCAAAACAAAACAAGTTAATGCCTATGTTGTCCTAATAAACGATGCATTATCATCCACAATTTATCCAACCATTGCAGTTAATTCTTCATTCTTTAATTTTTGTAGGAACGGATTGCAGATAGTTGTCAGTGGAGCTTTAAATCTGAGCTTCTGCTCACTTAGTTTCCAATACATGTTTTTTTAGCAAAAAGCCTGAAAAAATCTTGCAGATCTTTTCAATGGTTTATTGTTAGCACAATTCAGTAAATCGGTTTTCTTTGATCTTCAGAGCTAGTAAATGCAGTCTTTCAGAGGCCTTGTGTTTCATAACTACTAAGCATTTTCAAACTGCTTAAACTGTGCATGATGTGTGTACATATATATATGCTTTAGATTGGTGCCACTCTTTCTGTATGGGGTTTAAGGCACTTGAAAACCCCAGCCAGTAATCAATAAAATCACTCAATCACTTAATTGACCAGATTTGAAAGGGCATTTTAAAATTGTTTTTGAAATCAACACACTCTTCTAATACGTTTGGGTTTTTTTTAATTCACTAATCAATCTAACGTGTTGCATGCATGACATTTAAGTGGCACTTTTGTCTATGGGATAAATGGGTAGTTCAGATTTTATGAATAACAACTCATTGGGAAGTGTCAAATTGTGTGTTGTCTCGTATATTTTATGTATCAGTTATTTACCTACTTGCTGTAGAAGAACATGACTGAATAATTTTCAGTGTTTGTTTCTGAATTTCTTACAGTATTGATTAAAATACTTTGCAGTGTTACATGATATTTAAATATACTTCATTGTGAGTTCCACCAAAGCGTATCTAGTACAGTTTGAAAAACTGATTATTCCTGATAGGTAGTATTTTTCCTTATTCCCAACAAGTTCACTGAGTAATTGGTACATATTTGTTCTCTCTTTTTTTCGGTAGTTTATTGATCAAATTTTAACACTTCAAAATTTTTAATTTTAATTTTTCAAACAGCAAATCCCCTATTAGAAGCCTTTGGAAATGCAAAGACTGTTCGCAACAACAACAGCAGTCGTTTTGGGAAATTTGTTGAAATTCACTTTAATGAAAAGGTACTGGAATTTTGTTACAGATAACCAGTGATGATTTTTTGTCATAAAATGTAAATGTTAGACTGGAAGTAGGCTGAATATACTTACTAATCTTGCAGCAAATAGCTACTGTCCTACTTTACGCGTTTGGTTTGTAACTTGTCAGCTTGAAAGGAAAACCAAAGCCACACAATACTGTGTCACTACTGGAAAACAGTGGGTCATGTCAGTAGAAAAAATGCTTCCATCCACAAAAGAGTAAAAATTGTTCCCTTACTTGCTTGCTGTTAAGTATTTATGCATTCCTTTAATGCACAAATAAGTAAGTTGCATATTAGATACAAACAGATATAAATGTAGCTTAATGCTTTAATACTTTAAATAATTATTAGTATTTTTATGTATTTGAGATTTTAGGACCTCATGTTAGTATTATGTATGTGACAGAACTAATGGAATTGGGTTTTTTGTCAGAATACTATTCATTATGTAGTTTATGAAGAATTTTCTTTGTTTGGGTGTAGTTTTGCTTCGATAGCATTTGTATACACACTCCACAACTAAGGATGACTGTATGGCTGTCCAGTGTGTCCAAGTTGAAGTCTTTTGTCGATGTTCCCTGTAGAGATTATGTATTTACCTCCTCATCTTTGTGATTGAGGACATCGATAAATTCTTGCAGTTCCTTCCTGCAGAGTTTAAGCTCATCATCTGGTCTTGAGCTTGTATTTTCCTAAGTTTTAATCGCTTGGTTTTGTAACTAAACTTCAGATCTTTGGTTAAGAGTTTAGATAGTAAATAACTAAATTCCTTTAAGGGTAGAGGGACTTTATCTGTTGGTCCCATTCATGTTAATAAACTAATGGAAAGGACCCAAATGTCTACTTGGAATGATGTATTCATGACCTGTCAACTTAGCTGTCAACACTTACATAGTGTTTCAGATTAATTGCTTCAGTTGAAGCAAATAGCACTCAGAGTATCTTCAGAAACTGCTTAAAAACCTGTTTCAACTTTCTACTGCAAGATCAGCCTGTGTACTCGAACCCCTTTTTTACAAGACTTCATACTTCACCAGGCTGCACTTTGTGGTGACCTTATTAGGTCTGGTTTCTCAAAGGAATATCAGTACAGGCTAGAGCTTCCTTAATGAGTGAATGACTGCACAACCATAGTCAAATTTGTCAGTCAGCGAGTCCTTCTTAGTTGCTGTAATGGCCATAAGCTCAGGAATTTCCTTGCTATTAAGATTTGTCTAGGCACAGGGGATTTTGTCATAGGCCAGATGATGGTCTCGGTGAAATGCAACTAGAGGAGCTTGTAATAGCAGAGTAATGGCACTTACTGCCATCCACTGAAAGTGTAAGGCTGACTGTAGCAATGCTCTTCGCTGGAACTACTGAAATTCTGCCAAGGTTTTCTGCTTGTTGGGGTGAAGTGGACACTTTTAAGAGGAATGTATCTATATGCAGTACATGAGCCAGGGGGAGAAGTTATTTCAAAGGCAATGATTTCTTTTCTAAGCTTAATATGTATTAGGTATAGATACATTTTAATCTTCTTTGGAGCAGTGTCTGTTGAGCAAGCCATGATCAGACAAAGGTAAACCGAAAACTTCTGAATTTCAAATAATCCAAAAAATGTTCAGATAATCAGAAAAATATTTCTTCCTCCTAGAACTCGGTGGTTGGTGGATTTGTATCGCATTACCTTCTGGAGAAATCTAGGATCTGTGTGCAAGGCAAAGAAGAGAGGAATTATCATATCTTTTACAGGCTTTGTGCTGGTGCTCCAGAAGACATTAGGGAAAAACTGTATCTAAGCTCACCTGACAACTTTAGGGTGAGTATCAGAGTCAGTGTTTGTAAAGCTTCTCATACTGCCACACGTGGATTTTTCATAAAGATCTTATTAAAATCTGTATTTATTATCTTTGACAGACTCTTTCCTGTTACAAAAATCAGAATATTTTTTGCTAAGTGTATTTGATTCTGAAATAAAGCTGCCTACGTTTTTTCCTTATTGGAAGATGTCCTATACTTTGTGTCTTAAAGTAAAGATTCCTCATTTTTTTCTAAAAATGTACTGTTGCATACCCAACTGCTAGTAATGTTGTTATTGTCTCTTCCAGAGGTGTAAAGTATGAATTTCATGATTGTGATCTAACTGTTTTGTGTAGCCATCTTTTAAGTCCTGAAAACTGCATTTATTTCTTAATACTCCAACCATGTGCTTAGGAAGATGTAGGGGTTGGCCCACAATTCTCTCTTAAATTATTCTTCCCTTAAACTTCCCACCACAGTGACAAGATTGTTGTGCTTCTCTGCTCCAGTCCATGTGCTTTCATGTCACTTGTCTTTTCTACTCTGTTGCACCTTGTTCCTATCATTCTATACTATGTTAGTAGTGCTCCAGTTTTGAGCCTCTCCTGTTCCTCTCATCATACTCCTCTGTCATTCTTGGTCACTTCAGGTTACTCACCAGTCCCTTGCAGCTGAAAGCTCTCCCTTTTATCTCTGACTGACCCAAAGCCCATGCTCAGCTCTCCCTGCCAAGATTACTTCTATTCATTAAGCATGATCCTTTCTCTTAGGTTTTTCTTCACCTAATTTGTTCTTTCCTGAGGACTGCTTACTATTTCTGAGTTTTGGCTATCTTTCCACAACCTGTTGCTGGTCTAGTCACTCAAGTAATGGAGAAGCCAACAAAACGCAAACAAAATCAGTGCTGAATGTGATACTCCTAACTATACCTAAATGAAAGTGAACTTTAAATAAACTAAAAAAGACTTGCATCGTTGTGCATACTTCTCTAAAAAAGGTTAGCTTAATGTTCAGTGGCGGGGAAAAAATGAATTAGAATTTTAGGAGTTGCTGGGAAAGGAAGGGAGAATGAAATATTGAGTTATGCTGCAATGTACATCAATATTTGTCAATAGCATACACAGTTTTGTTATCCTTGCTCAGAAAGGAACAGTGAAATCCTTGGGTGAAGCTGAGGTCGTGGTTGAAGACAAGCTCTTATATAGTATGGGTCTTTTAATTCAGTCTAGCGAGCCTGTTCTTATGACTTCTGATTTGTTTACTGCCTTCCCTTCTTCTCCCCATGCTTTATTTTTAGGGTTTTTGCTTTTTTTTTTTTCTGAGATTATATGGTTTCTCCTGATAAACCGCGATTCTGTGTTACGTTTCTAGTAGCAGTCCCACAAACGGGCTGGCTTTCTGTCCTACCATTATGTTCTTGCATTCTTTTCCTCCAGTTTTTCCACTGAATGGTTTTACTACTTCAGTTTAACTTTTAACTTTTTCCTCCAGCTTTCCTTCTTTTTCCTCCTCTTCTCTATGTTCTGATTTCATGGAATTGTTTTCAGAAATGATCAACGAATAACATGACATTTCCTTTTGCTTCCTTTCCTTTCTTGTCAGTCAAATTTTTTTCTCCATTTTGTTTTGTGTTTTGCCTGAGTGACTCCAACCCTGCTTCTCTTATTTTTAAATTATTTTAATTCTCAGTGTATTAAATCTTGATTATTGCGGTAATTTTTTTTCTTGAGAAATGAATATTATTGAACTTGTATCCAATTAATACAACCTCACTAATACAGCTGTTTCTCGTTGTTTTCCTGATTGTCCCTTCTCTTTCTTTTCCAAGCAAGCTTTTGCCATCCCTCTCAAGGTGCTTCTAAGCCTATTCACGTCTTATACTGTCATCACATGTTTTACTAGTAAGGTGAAGACTCTTGCCTTCAGTCATTCATTCCTGTTTTCTGCTCTTTAATTATATATATAAATATATTGGTTTGGTTTTGTTTTGTTTTGTTTTGTTCTTCTTTTCCTTTTGACAATCACACTTGAACTGTAAATATCTACAAATATCACCATGTGCTTTGTTGACTTTGAAAAGAAAAATACTGGCAAATCAAATCCTACTGGTAAACACTGGTCAGTTGTTTGCCTTGTGTTCTGTCATTTGTCTCCATCTCTCCACTGTTTCTTGGCTTATGCCTGGCTTGGAATCTCATGGAAGCAAAATTTTGTGTATTCTCAAAATACACAGACCAAATCCCTACCATGGGTTTGGAAGGGTTTTGTAACACAAGCCTGGAGAGCGTGTGAGTTACAAGGATATAAATTAATTGACTGTCATCTTTTTAGACTTCCTTGATCTTAAACATGACATTGCTATGTTGATTGTTTTCTTTGTTGGTGTAATCTTCCTACTTGGTTTTCTAAATGAAATTTGGACTGTGCTTATCTATTACTTTCCCCAAAATCTTTTGTACTCAGTTTCATCAGAATTCAGCAGAGGGCTAGAAGCCTTAAAGATACAAAGCTCCTACTAGTTTTGTGCAAAGCAGCGGTTGCATAGGTGACACTGAAATTAGCGCACTTATTGTAGGTAAGGTGGGTGTACACTGGTGGGTGAGCAGGTTGGTGCTGCCTCTTCTCTTGGCTTGGCCAAGTCAGTCTCTGCTTACTGATGAGCCAGGAAGCAGGCACAGGGCTGCGCTTCTATATTGTGCACATCATAACATTGGTACTTTGGTATCTAGGTGATCTAGCTCCCTAAAAGGTATGGCAGTATTTTAGGACAAGCTTCCTTACTTCCTCAAAGGTGTTCCTAGGGGCTTTTATATACCTTATATTATTTCTTGAAATATTTAATTTGTATCTTCTTATAGTTCATCTATTTGTACTCACTTGTGTGATGGAAACTTGATCTAATGATTAAGAAGGAACTGTTTCTGTTCTCTTGAAGGAAAGCTTTTCTTTTGAAACACTCAACAAACACAATACTTAAACCAAAGCAAACCAAAAAACAACAAAATCAACACCATTTATTTTCATATAATATGGAGCTAGTTTTCAAAACTTTCTTCTTTACTGTGCAGTTATTCTATGGGATATTTTCTCATATGTTTTAAATTAAAGCTAAAATCTTGAACAAATTTTCAAATACATATTTTTATTGTGCAGCCACTTTTCCATTAAAACTTATTTCTTGTAGTTAATAGATATTTTAATTCTGGAATGGAATACGCTGCTTGCCCACTCTTGGGGATTTTTTTTAAAATCAAAAACTGCTCATGAGAGCACACAAGGTTGTAGACGTCAAGGTCAGAATTATAACCTGCTTAAAATCAGACTGGTGGAGTACAGTACTGAACAGCCCGAGTGCCTTTACAGAAGGCACTCGCCTGTTTCAATTATAAAGAGTTTACAGTCACACCAGCCTTATCACACTGTGACATAATTATTTTGGCTTCTGCAAAGTTTGCAGCAGGTACTTTCGTTTCCATTAAGAATATTTATTGCTTTACCATAAGTTAGTATTTGAATCCTGAGTTCCTTGCTGCACGTGAAAGATCCAGTTAAGGTCCTGCATGTTAAATTTAAAAATTTTAAAGCTTCTTTTTTTTTTTCTCTTCTGAAATTAAAGTAGAGTATCTTTAATTAAAAAACTCTTAGGATAATTTTCATCTTTGTATGTATCTGAACTAATACAAATAAACTTCAAGTTTATTAGTCATATTGCATGAAATTTTCATGAAGTATCACTTTATCGGAGATTTTTAGGAGAAAAAAACCCAAACCCTAAATTTGTGTTACTTTTATCGGGATTATTTTTTCTGTGTTCTTCATTTCATTTGCTGCTTCAGGTTTTATCATAAGATGGCTCTGAATAATCACGCTTGTGTCACTCTTTTAGCATGTTTTTTTATTATATGCATGCCTGTCAGATTCAAATTCCATGGAAATACCATCTTTCAAGCTTCTAATAATAGATGGTAATATTACACTAGGCAAGGTTTGATGATTGATCAGTGTTTTGATATTAATGCCAATTTTTTGGACAAGAAAAACATTCAGGAAAAAAATCATACTCTTAAATTGGTTATTTAGATAAATCCATTCCTAAAGATACAGTTTTGCATCGTCTCTGTTGTGCCACTTGTCTTGTACCTTGTAGCTTATCAAGTCAAAGTCCAAATTAGGGCCAGTTTGGGTTCTAAGACTCAAGCATGTGTTGCTCAATGCCTGGTTTCTCTTAACTACACTCATGTGAAAGTAGGACTGTCTCAAATCTAAGGTAATTCTCATTTTTCACAGAAGGGAAACAGTATTAAAAGGCGAAGGGTAACTTAATGCTCTTTTTTCCCCCTAGTAGGCTTGCTTCCCTTTGACTTAAGTGATCCCTTGTGATCTCCTCCCCATGCATTTGCCCATCTTGGCATAGGTGTGCACTTGCTCTGGGCATGTGAGCAAGACAACTGCACTGGCTGCACTTGCCTGACCTGTTGTCTGGATTTCAGCAGCACTGTGGTGGATTACCTCTCTGCTAGTTCGTCTTTCCCCTACAGTTCCCCTGGGGAAGCATGAATTTACTTGGCAAAGGATTATGAAAAGTTGCAGGTTTCCTATCCACTCCTCCTCCGAGCACACCCACGCAAAAGCGTGCACTCCTGGCTGCTTGTGTTTTAGGTTCTTCTGCAGAAGTTTTCAGAGAGTCAAAGTCCTCAGGCTAACCCTGTCCTGAACCTTATAGGTCTAGGTGGTTTGGACTGCACCACATGGCTTTGAAAGTAAAGCTGCACGGTAAATCTGTACCTGGAGTACAGTTGATGGAGATGAGAAGCTGATTTTTTTTCCAGATCTTAATTTCTGGAAGATGTTGGGTCACTGATGTTACAATTGTGTCTTGTACTTCAGAGTTTAAAAAAACCCAAAAAGCACAATGGTATTTAAATGTTATACATGATAACCTCAAGCTGTGTATTTGTGTGCTTTAAAAATATAATCTCTCCTACGTTTAATATGTAAATTTACTTGCGTTTTTAACTTTCAAATGAAAGCTATTATCTTGTGATTAAGATTAATAGTAACCTGCATAGGTTATTATTGAATACTGTGCTGGTTCATGTTCACTGTCTGTCAGGTAAGTTTCCACACTCTCTTCCTAAACAGTACGACCTCTTTCAGTTCCTCATCCCCAGTTTCTGGGATCGTGTTACTAATACTGTAATACAGGGATATATTGTTGTGTTTAAAATATGCTGTGCTTTGCATTCTTACTGGCTGATAAAGAAAACGTTTTCAATGTTTTGTTAAACACCAGACTAACTTTGAACAGTGTTTCTTGTCACTTTGTTTTAATATTGTTTGTCACCTAGTTTTCTCCTGCTGTTAGAAATGCTTTGAAGAATATTTTATTTTTTAGCATTTTGCGTGTAAATCTGAATCAAAATGTAGAATTATCTGTGTTCACCTAGTTGAAAACATCTTCTTTGTTCCTGGGCTAGAGCAAAGAATCAGTTCACTTCCTTTAGACAAAGGGCTCTGTCTGAGCTTTTGGACAGCATTCTTACTTACAGCTGAACAAATCAGAAAGAAGAAGCCAGCAATCCCATTTTGCTGGAAGTGTCAGTCATCATCTGAATGCTTGGTCTATTCCCTTTACTATACAATGTGAGATTGATATCAGAAACTGGGTTCTGAATTAGGCTTCTGCTTGTACCATGTTATAAGCTCTTAATATTCTTCAAGGTGTTTTTTTACACTGTGTCTCTTTCACCTATAGAAATATATCAATGGTGAGGGAAAAAATGACCATAAAGCTACACTGGACATAGTACTACAAATTATTTGATCCTACCCCTCTTGCCCCTGGGTATACTATATAAAGCCTATATATTGCTGAAAACATAAATATTATTGTCGAATCTTTTTTGGTGTTCTGTACAGCTTGCCAGCATAAAGTTTGGTATTACACATGGGCCAGAAAATTTATTTTCTTAGTTCCTAATTTTGTTTGTCTTTTCTACAATCCCAGACTCCATTAATAAATTTAGTAGAGTCAAACATTAAGAAAAGATTGTGGGACATAACAAAGTGAATATCCCACGGTGTCAAAATGGTATTTCAGTTGTCAAAATTGAGACACTTTCAATAGAAGTGTGTTACTGTTGCACTTCTGTAATTTTGTAGATGTAAATAAATACATTTTCAAGGAATGAATTCTGAATACCTAGCATGTTGTTGGTATCATATGAATAAATCAAGCTATGTAGAGCAAACCTTAAAAGCATATGTTTTCCTGACTTCTGTCTTTAAGTATGCATTTCCACTTTTTTCTTGTTACAGTATTTAAATCGAGGCTGTACCAGATACTTCGCTAACAAAGAAACAGACAAGCAGATTTTGCAAAATCGCAAGAGTCCTGAGGTACGTTTGTATCTTCAGTTAGTTTATGTTATTAAGTAATGCAGATAGAGTTGAAAATGATGATTACAGTTTTACAGTATGGAATGAAATGTTCATTTTACACATCTTTATAGGTCTAAATGGGTACTGTCAAAGCTGCTACATTCAGAACTCTGGTTTTGGAGTTCAGTCCTAGAAATGCATTTTAACATTCATCTTAAAATCTCAAGTGGGACAGTATATAAAATTATTTCCTTTTCATTCTTATATAAGACTTAATGATACAGCTTGTCTTCTGTGGAAAACAAAAATCAGTCCAAGACTTTCTGTCATTTTCTTTTTAAGTCCTACTACTGCGAGGAATAAGTCAGAAGCAGTTGTTTCCAGAGCCATTTTTACTGTCTGGATTTTTGAAGTGATGCTCCAAACTGTTTTATAAAACATTAGTGCAACTTCACTTCCAGGTCAAGTATATCCCCGTCCTCAGTACACTGCATTCTTTATTGTTTTTTGTTGTCCCCTTGCTATGAACCATTACTGACAGCAGAGCATGGTATTTCCTGGCATAAAGTGTGAAACTTCAAAACATGTCATTCCTCTTGCTCCATCTCTGTTTACATTTTTTTAAAAACTGGAATTACCAGAATTTGTAGCATTTAAGCCTTTGAGCTTGGAGAGCATGAAAGAATTTAATCCACGTTAACAGTGCATGTGAACTGGAAGTTGCTTAAACACTTCATTAAACTTCTACTCTGCTGTCTAGTACAATTTTCATCACATTTCACCTAAGGATGAATTTTGCATTTGTGTAGCTGGAAGATATTTCAAATCTTAATGAAATCCATACTTGGGATTCAGTAGCAGGGCAAGCTGCATATACACGTGGAACAATACAAAGATAAGTTCACTCAAGAGCTTGTCTCCGATGATGACTGTGCCATCTCTTTTACCTTTGAGAACTTGGGTTTGAGCTTGTACGTAGCTCGTGCCTAGCTATGAAAGACAGTATCGATACTTCCTTTGCACAGATCAACATTGTAAAGTCTACTCCTGGATTTCTAGTGTTTATATGTTGTAACCCTGAGCACATAGTGCCAGTTTCTTTTGCTTGAATGTAGGCCATTTTCTGGTGGAGAGTGAGATGCAGAAATGCTGATTTGATATTACTGTGAGGCAGAAAGCTGGCAGGTATTTCATTCTTGTCAAGCATATAGGCTAAGAGATGGTTGAGAGATTTTGCCGCAGTTTACCTATTTTGCCTTAAATAAAGATTTGTAGTGAAGTTGGTCATTTATGTAGGCATAAAGTATCAACATTTACTTATGCTTACTATTGGAAGGTGAACCTGTGCAATCTTCTGATGTGATTTACAGACAGGTGTTCTGTCATAAAATGTGTCCTCTAAAGGACTTAATTGAAGTAAGTATTTGTCTAAACTAAAATATGCTGAAAGAATAATTCTGAAAGTATGTATTGGACATTAAATAGTAGAACATATGATGCCATAATACCTGTCTCTTACAGCCATGTCAGTTTGGAGGCGCAATAAGTGATCGCATTTCAATGATATTAAAACTTAGTCTAGCCACTTAAACGGGAAATATATTGCATTGTTCAGGTTTTTAAATCAGAAATTTAATATTTACTCTGTCATTTTATGAAAAATATTGTTTATTTTAATAGAAGTAGCTGGAATAGTCCATTAATACCTAAATTATTTTTGTGTTTTCCTTATCAGGAAGATGAGGTGATCATTTTACATAACTAAGATGGAGTTTAATTTTTTTGATGTGTCTAAATGTTGTGTGAAGTGAATTTTTCAGATGCATGTGGTGTTTTGTTTTGATTAAAATCGCATTAGCTTATTTGACATTAACAAGGCTTCTCTTTAAAGTTAATTATTCTTTTTAGTTGAAAACATTTCAAAGTAATTGTAAAACCTTAGATCAGTCTGTGCATGTTGAGTTAGTCTCTTGATTGCATGCAGATGTGTTACTACCTACTATTTAAAACTGTTAATAATTAAAATGGCTTACGATGTATTTAAACTAGGAAAATTAGCAAAATATTAAATTGGTGTTTTAAAATGTAGCTGGTATTCTTTCAATTCATAGCACACTGCAAACAACTTTACTGTTTCTTAATCACCAGCAAACATGAACAAGTATATTTCTCTAAATAAGTCTGTTTGTGATAGGGATAATTCTTCCAGTTCTTATTTGTCCTGTGCTTCTTTCCCGTAGCCTGTCAAACTTTCCGTCACCCTATTACAAGGACCTCAATCTCTTCTTTCAATGGCCAGGGGCCAGAAGCACTCCTCGGTATAAGTGCTTCAGTAGCTTCCTCAGCCAGACTCTTCCTTTCCACTGCTCACTGTCCTGTATTCCCCTCTCCTGAGCTGTTACGCTCTCCAGCTTCTGCTTTCTGAAGGCAGTTGGAGGTGTGCTTTGAAGTTGAAGTTTGAAGATCATGCTTCAAAGTATCAACAAATTAGGATTCTTACAAAGCCTGTATTGTATGAAGAGCTCTAATGTCTTTCTACTTAGTTGGGGTTTTGCATGCTTTTTTATGCTTTTTGTTATGGTTTATTCTTGACTGGAAGTAATTGCTTACATTTACTTTAAAATCACTTACTGACTTTTTGGTTTGTCTTGTTGTTTTATAGTATCTCAAAGCAGGTTCCTTAAAGGATCCACTCTTAGATGATCACGGAGATTTTAACAGAATGTGCACAGCGATGAAAAAGATTGGACTGGATGATGCAGAAAAACTTGATCTTTTTAGAGTAGTGGCTGGTGTCCTTCACCTTGGAAATATTGATTTTGAGGAAGCTGGGAGCACTTCAGGTTAGATGAAACATAAATTGTTTTCTGTAAAAATACTGAAAATGACTCTTGATTATAGATGATTCCTTTCCATGTGAATTATTGCTTTAGAAATCTACCGTGTGTTCAAGGGTAATTCAGTCTTAATTCACCCCATTTTGAAGTCAATTTTACCTGTTTGTTTTAAAGTTGTACTTCTTTACATGCAAATAGGCTCTCACTGAAATTGTTCAAGAAATTGTTCCTTGCAAAGTTTGATATAAAGGAAAGAGACTTTTTTTGTATTTTAATAATAATTTTTAAAAGTCCGGCTTCTTGCTAATGTCATGAAAACATCTTGAAATTAGCAACTCCATCTGTAGGGAAAGCCATTATGTCCTTTGGCTTCCAAAAATACCATCACGTTCATATTTTGAGAGGTGAGCAAAAAAGAGTTACAGCAAAAACTGAGGTAAATGTAAACATCCTAATTTTAAGATGTCACTCACAAGATGAGTTGGGACTCAGTAGCAGAATGTGCAGGAAGGCTGAGGAAAGAGAGCGAGTATTCTGGGAACAGTTTTTCTGACCTTACTACTGAAATCAGCCTCTCTAAGTTGAGAACTGCTGTCCGTATATTTGTGAAGGACTGAAGAAACTCTTGATCTGGACATACTACAAATATAACTAGAGTAGACAAGATAAGTATGTAAATCTTTATCTTGAGTTGTAAGATACACAAGATAAAGTGAAATCAGTTCCTCTTAGTCCTACTTCAATTATGTATAGCTGTTGCCAAACTTGGTAAAGTTTTCAGAAAGGGCATAAGAAAAGAACATTTTAAAAGGTGTTTTGAATGATGAATTAAATGAGTACTAGCCCTATAGGTTCACTGACTCCTGACCCCATGCGCAGAATGACCACAGAACTTGTAGAAACGTTCAGGTTGGAAGAGATCGTAGGAGGTCTATAGTCCAACGTGTCCTCGTCAAAGTCTGAATTCAGACTGGGTAGTTTAGGGTTGTCACAGAGAAGGTAGGGATTTTTTGGTGTGGTTCACCCCCCACCCCCCCCCCTTTGGTCAAATCCAGACCTCCCCAGTGTTGGTTCATGATCTTGCCATCTGCCTGATGACTGAAATGAACACGATTAATGTGAACAAATCTGGGAAGATGTGGGGGTAGAGAAGGTTAGTGGCTTCATGGGGCTCAGCAGTAAGCTGGCAGGGAGCTTCCCCGTTTGGGCCTCCTGTGAGTTGGGATTTTGGGGTTGACAAGGTGGGACAGAGTGAAAAAGGCGCAAATGTGAGCAGAGAGGCAGTTTCAGGAGGTAAAGGAACAAGGAGAAGGGGAGCTACAGATGGTGAGGAAAGTCAGGGTTTAGAGGAGGACACCAGGAAACTTATTTCCTCTGAATGTTGAAATTCAAACCCATTTTTTTTTCTGGAATAAATTATTAAACTTCTAAAGGTTCATTGCAAATCCAGGCTTTATTCTGCTCTCACCTGGTATGCGTACATACTGAGCGTTCATTTGAACTGCTCCAGGTAGTGTGTCTCTGTACCAACCAGCCCCTAAAGTTCTGTTACTGCTTCGAAAACCTGGGAAACACCAAACAAAAGCTGTTTACTCCAGGTCAGATGGTGGTTTAGAGCTCCCAAAATCAAGTCACAAAAGCCTTAATCTTTTAAGGACTTGTTTCCCCCCCCCCCAGTTAGCATTATTGTAGAGTTAAGGAATTCGAGCAATGTTTGACAAGTGAAGAGACCAAAAGGAATAACTAACTAATCTGTACAAATCAACTTTACTGAGAACAACAGGAAATAAATGTTGTAATCCTGGCACGTGTAATTAAGTGTTAGATTTTGCTAAAGCGTTTGGAGAGCTTCGCTTAGTGCTTTATGAACCCGGTAGTGGCCGGACGAACTGCGGCGCGGAGCGGAAGGAAGCACGCCTCTCCGCTGTTTACCTAGGAAAATGTACATTCCCATATCTGAAAACGTAAGTGCCAGGAGCCTCCCGTGCCAGGCGCTAATGTTGGGTAGCAAGATAGCCTGGAGGGTTACGGGAACACCTACATCCAAAAGTTTCAATCCCTGCAGTTCGTTTCTAAGCATTAGCACTTTACTTATGCCGTTTTGGGGTAGTTACTTACAAGCAGGTTAGCGTTTCGGACAGCCCATGGTTAGAACAATGTGATAGAAATACAGAATTTCATTCATTCGTTCGTTTAATTCATTATTCGTTTTTTTGGGTGGTGGGTTTTGGGTTGTTTGTTTTGTTGTGGGTTTTTTTTTTTTTTTTCTGGGGGGTGGTGGTGTTGGGTTTGGTTTTTTTGAGGGTTTTTTTTTTTGTTTTGTTTTGGGTGTTTGTGGGGGTTTTTTTGGTGTTTTTGTGGGGTTTGGGTTTTTTTGGTGGTGTTTTTGTGTGGGGTTTTTTCCTGCGTTTTTGTGGTTTTAAGGTGTTTAGTTTGGTGGTGTTTTTTTGGTTTTTGTTGTGGGGGTTTTTTTTGTTTTTTTGTTTTGTTTTGGTTTTGGGGGGGTGGGGGTTTTGTGTTTGTGTGGTGGGGTTGTGTGTGTGTTTGTGTTTTGTTTTTGGTTTGGGGCTTTCCTTGTTTTTTGGAGAACTGACTCTTCACATTTAACATATGAAGTAATTCCCGGAGGCAAACTTTTAATTCCTTCAAAGTTGACGTTGTTGCTAGTCGTCGCGGCAAGACCGACACCAGTTCAGTGTCCCGTCCCCGTCCCCCCGAATTGTCCGTAACAATGCCCAACTGGCTGCCGTTGCGTTGCCGTTGGAAGAGCACGCTTTGAAATGGCGAGCGGGCCGGAGCGTGTGTGTGTGTGTGTGTGTCCGTGTGGCAACCGGGTCCGGCCGCCGCGGGAGCGGGGGGACTAACTGACCGGCCTGCGGCGG